ACATGTGGAAAGACATTGATGAGGAATACCTGGATGCCTATATTGGTGTTCTTCTTCTTGCTGGAGTGTACAGATCCTGCAATGAGGCCACTGATAGTCTTTGGGACGCATCGACAGGAAGAAATATTTTCCGCTCAACAATGTCACTTCAGACCTTTCGTATGATATCAAGAGTCCTCAGATTTGACAACAGAGATACCAGAGCAAATAAAATAATAATAGAAAAATACTTTTTTGCCTTTTTCTTGAAGGTAAATACATATGGGTCGAAACTGACCCGTAACACCATAGATGTTACTATAGTTAATAATATTAAAATTAAAAAATAAATAAAACAAATTTATTTAAGAGATGTGTTCTAATAGTGCTTAGTAATAGTCAGGTAACACAACAACCTTTTATTTATTTATATGATTCTGTTGAGGTTCATTTTACCATTTTTTTAAATTGAAATCGAGGGGTATACTGACAAAAAAAGGCCCAGAGGCCCACACCAAAAATATTAAAACCAATATTTTTATGGATATGGAAGCCTAACAAGGTAACCAAGAGATGAGAAACAAATTGGATGATAGCTAATTGTTTTTAGTGTATTTTACAGCTGATTTAAGACACGGGTCAAAACCGACCCGTTAACATAAGAGATGGTAACAGAAAGTGAACACAAGAGGAAGGTTAAATGAATCTGTTTGTAGCGCCTCTTACTGTTTTACTTGGTGAACTACAGCTTCGCATCACTCCTTTACCTCTTTAACAGATGCAATTTAGCAGTTGTACACCGGAAACTCCGTCTCTGATTTCCACAATAAAATAACGAGAACGTTCGGCTGTTTATTGAGGTTCAAACGTTGTTTTAAACGGAACAGATTAGATTAAAACAGAAAACTCTTAGATAGTTCCTGTAAACAGCTGATAGACAAGAAATAGTACTTGTGTGTTTTTGTATTCATTGTACTCATCGTTCCGTAAAGTACTGATCTTGTTCATAAAAGAGGAACTATCCAAGCCGCCAATATGAACCCGTGCTTTTTATTTGCTGGTAGAGACAAACGGACACACTTCCCGCCGCCAGATGTTTTGATGATAATGTCACTCACGCACTATTTTTCAGATATAGCTACATTGCGTGTTTGTGCTAGCACACTGTTCGTCAACCAGGTAAGAAAATGGTTTACGTTTGTAAACAGGTATATTAATTTATCCCTTTGAGACAATGTGTAATTAGTTATAATAAGTTGTTACATGCTCTCTCAAAAAAAAATTTATACATTACAAAAACATAAACGCTGGTGCTTTTATTTTGTTAGATACATATCGGATGTGTGTTTGTGCTTTGAAGGCCGGTCTGCAGTGTCGAGGAGGAGAGGAGGCGCGGGAGCTGAAGGTCAAAACTGGAGAACATCATTATCATTGATGCTCATATCATCACATATAAACCAATCATCGATGATAAACTGAACGGCATAATCGTCCGAACGAGGATTAGGACCGCGGAGTGAGACAGGACACGGATCCGCTGCTGCATCCTTTCCTCCCGCCTGTCTCCCTCTCTGATTCTCCATCACCAGCCTCCTCTATCTGTCCGCCATGGGGAACCGGGGGATGGAGGAGCTTATCCCGATGGTAAACCGGCTGCAGGATGCCTTCTCATCCATCGGCCAGAACGCCAGCCTCGACCTGCCGCAAATCGCCGTGGTGGGCGGGCAGAGCGCCGGGAAGAGCTCGGTGCTGGAAAACTTCGTGGGCAAGTGAGTCCAGTCCACTGTCTGTCCGTCTGTTTGTCTGTCAGTTACTCAGTCGTTTGCCTGGGGCAAAACCCGAGCAGGTACTGGGAGGTTTAAAACGCTGTGGAATGATGAAAGGCCGGCGGATCAGAGCTATACCCGATGTGGTTCACAGATGTATTAGTCCGCTATAATATATAGTAATGTAATAATGTAATAATGTAATAATGGCAATTAGAATAATAATTATTGCATATTCTCATAATAATATTATATAGTGATTGTGGAATAATACTATGAATGAGAATAAATAATATTGCATCAATAATATGACAATGATAATATCAGCCTGTCGTCTTCATACAGTCTGATTACTGATGAGCTCACAGTATAATTGGAAGTAACTTAAAATAATAGCAGTCATCTAGGCCACGCAGTAAACGAGCGCTTATTGTCCTCGCCTTACAGTAAGATGATCTACAGTTCGATTTCTGGCTGTAATGTTATTTTCTGCATGGGCTGTCCATTCACCTCTGGGTTTAAGTAATGGAATATGAATACCTTCAATGTAATCATCTATACCGGTGATTACCAACCACTGGGCTGTGGCACACTAGTATGCCGTGGAAAACTGTCCAATTTTAATTAATTGGTCCGAAAACTATTATTTACATATTTTAAATATTTATTTTTCTTTCGTCAATGCGTCACAGGCAGAGTAATTAAATCCTCCTTCACTAGGTGGCAGCAGATGGCTATGGAAACTAAAAAAACACAATCAGATCTGTTAAAGATCTTTGTGAGTGTCTTTTTTCAATTCCTGCCAGAATATGAGCGTTGTCTTCGAAACAGGAGTTAACAGGAGTACATTTTTAGTAAATTTAAACTAGAGGATTGTTATGTTTCATTACATACACTGGAAACATTGATCTATACAACTGCAAATCACAGGTTACCAAAATACAATTTCAAATTATCATTTTATAAAGCGTAAACCATCACCCTCCCCTGCAGGTGGTGCTACACAGTTCTAATGACCTGTGACCATGAGTTGAGGAATACTATGTGTTAGATTTCGGTGGTTTTCACATTTGGTTGGGTCTGCAGCAGGAAGATGATAAGACACCAAATGGCTTTCCCGAGCACACAGTCACATAGCCCCACACATTCAAACAGAATTTCCCCAAATTCTCTTCACACCAACTTTCTAAAAACACCTCTACTCCCTGGGGACAATGAGAGATCCTCACACCAACTTTCTGTTTCCTGGGAACAATGGGAGATCTCCCAATCTACCTTCTCACAGGGAACCCCGAAGCCATCCTTTCCTTTTAATCTACAATGTAGATCAAAAGGCAAAAAAAAAAGACAGCGATCATGCATTTCTTGACAAACTCTCCATCAGTGAAAGGTTTACCGCTGCTTGCTATCAGTTGAGCAACCCGAAAGCTGGCCCAAACAGATGACTGGTTCAACTGAGCTTGGCGTACAAATGTATTCTGCTGAGCTAACAGTCCACTTTTAAGCTTCGAGAGTTTGTCTGCTCGCAATTGGCCTTGCAAGCTATCCTACTTGTCTTTGTGACGGGATTCATAGTGTCGCCGCAGATTGTGTTCTTTGAATACCACCACCGCCTCTTGACAGATGAGACAGACAGCCTTTTCTTTGCATTGAACAAAAAAATAATCGTTTGTCCACTGCAGGTTAAATGCCCTGCATTCTGAATCAATTTTTCTCTTACCTAATCTTTTCGCCATTATTCCGTTCTCTCTTTGAGAAGGGCGTGTTTAGGTTTTTTTTTCTGGGGGTTGCCAGATAGGGGCACAGACCGCAGAAGGGTGGAACAGAATGTCACACTATATGTGTGTATGAAATAGTTACTAACCAATAGTTAATATTGAAAATAGTCTATAACTAAGGAACATTTTATTGCAATGATACTTTAGAAGTTATTCTTGAGAAGTTAGAAGTATTTTTAAGTACTATATAACTTTGCGTTGTATGTTCCTTGGATATTTCTCCGGTTGTTATTTTGCTTTATTGTTGGACCTGTTTTGTTTGACGATTTATTAAAACAAATCGACCATCTATCGGCTGCTTCCACTCCTTGCCTGAAGGCACCTCGCACAGCAAGAATCTTTCATATGACATATTTACATATTACACTCCAGCTTACTATTGTCACAAAAAAGTTGTACATATGCAATGATTGACAGGCCATAGATCCCTCTTTCCCAGTTTTAGTCAACTGATGTTGACATGAAACAGCATTGTGTCTACAATGATGACAGTTTTACTACAATCAAGTTGTTTAAAAAAAATCAATATCAATATATTGTTGTGACCATTGTATTGCAATATATCGTCTGGTCATCCCTGTATTGCGATATATATCGTATCGCCAGATTCTCACCAACATACACACCTAGTAATATTTGTGCTGAAGATAAAATAGAATAGAATATTCATACAAAGATATAGCACGCTACAGTACTACGCTCATGTCGTGACAAAAACAGCCTCCATAGTTTGTAATTATTTTTTATCAAGTCTAACGGTGGTCTGAAGAAGAACAACCTTTGGTCCAGACCTCTGAAGTATGATGTAACGCTGAGAGGTGTGACACTGATGTAACAGTTGTTTCATCGTTTCTGTTTTTACCTCTGATTGGTTTAACCTCATCAGCTGATGTGACAGACCTGGAGTTCTCATCATTCTCTGAGTCTCAGATTGACATTTCCTGATGGAGAGGAATCTCTCCCTCTCCCTCTCTCTTTCGCACTGCATCTCTGCTGTCATTGGACACCGGTCGCAATGCATGACTGTAACCACGTGGTCCTTGTGTGTGTGTGTGTGTGTAATCACTTACTGCAGTGTTTTTCTCGCCTGCAGTCAGTGCATGCGCACACAGACTGTGAGGATGTCGTGACAGTGTTCTTATTGAGCTGCAGTCAAGGCTTTACATCCATCTATCCATCCATTCATCATCAACCGCTTATCCGGGGCCGGGTCACGGGGGCAACAGTCAGAGCAGGGACACCCAGACTACCCTCGACACTTCCTCCAGCACTTCTGGGGGACCCCAAGGCGTTCCCAGGCCTTCACACTGCTATTCCGCCCGTAGGCCGAAACAACAGTGAGACACCTATCCCTGACCCAAGGCGCAGGGAAGCGACCCTCTCGCTCAGTGGGGAGAACTCCGACACACGACTGGCAAGCTGAGGGGCTATAAGTAAGCCTACGCCAGCACGCCGTCTCTCACCGCGGGCAACTCCAGAGTAGAAGAGAGTCCAGCCTCTCACAAGGAGTTGGGTCCCAGAGCCCAAACTGTGCGTGGAGGTGAGCCCGACTATATCTAGTCGGAATCGCTCAACCTCCCGCATAAGCTCAGGCTCTTTTCCCCCCAGCGAGGTGACATTCCATGTCCCCATAGCCAGAGTGGTTGTCCACGGATTGGGCCGTCAGGGTCTCCGCCCACAACCGCCACCCAAATCACAAGGCAGCGGCCTCTTGTGGGCCTTCCTGCGAGTGGTGGGCCCTGCGAGTGGTGGGCCCCCTCCAAAGCGGGCTGTTTATTAGAGTAGCACTCATTTATATCTCACTGCATTTACCTGAGCACACAGACATATTAAAAAGCATATAATTCACTGTGAATGTTAACTTTCAGTATAAAACAGTCAAACTCCCTGTTGGGATTCCTCCATTATGTTACATTATGTTGCTTTATTGTGACGCCATGTTTTTTACTGTAAGATGTCATTACTTCTCATTTGTATTGTAAACACAGAGGAACATTTTCCATTTTCAAGCTTCTGCAGAATATTCCTTTAGTGACTTGGAGATGACATGGTTAAGACAGGGTTATTTTTTCTTTTGCAACATGGAGACACAATAAGACTGACATTGAAATTAAGGAATGACTTAGACGAAGACTTTAATTCCTGCAGACTTGACCTCAACTCTATTTAGTCACTTGGACTCGGACTTGGATTCTTAACACTTGTCTTGTGTCTAAAACACTGCTCCTAAAGCTAACTGAACTATCTCTTTCCTTTCAGAGACTTCCTCCCCCGTGGTTCAGGAATTGTGACTCGTCGCCCCCTGGTGCTGCAGCTCATCAACAGTCCCACAGGTGCGACGATTAGTAAAAAAATGTTACTGTTTCTTCATTATCTTGACTATAAGGAATTGAAAATTGTGTGCTTTTGAGCTAAGACTTTCCCCCGAGAACCTGACTGGAGGCAAAGATTTCAAATAGGACTTTGTTTTGTTGGACCGTTGCCGTGTCTGTTCCTTACTTATGGTCTGTTGATAAACCACATTCTTTCTTTGACAGAATATGCTGAGTTCCTTCACTGCAAGGGGAAAAAGTTCACTGATTTTGACGAAGTTCGTCAGGAGATCGAGGCTGAGACGGATCGTGTGACTGGACAAAACAAAGGGATCAGTCCAGTCCCCATCAACCTCAGGGTCTATTCACCCAACGGTAACGCACTGCAACATACACTCAGCGAACCCCTCCAACCAAATCAGTTAAACTTGAGATACTCAGTGGCGCCCTCTGTGTCCATACAGTGCTGAACCTGACGCTCGTAGATCTCCCCGGGATGACGAAGGTTCCGGTCGGAGACCAGCCGGCTGACATAGAACAGCAGATCAAAGACATGCTCATGCAGTTCGTCACCAAAGATAACTGCCTCCTGCTGGCCGTGTCACCTGCCAACTCTGACCTCGCCAACTCTGATGCTCTGAAGATCGCCAAAGAGGTCGACCCACAAGGTCAGACTCAAACCTCAGAAATCTTCCCAGACCTCCTCTGTTTAATGTATCTGTTATTTCCAAATCTCCAAGACTTCCAAGTCTGCAAAGACTCCTGTATCCACATCTTTTACAACTCCCACTTTATCTTCCTCTCCCACGTACCCTCTCACCCTTATGGCTTCCTACACTGTTGTTCGCAAACTTCCCTGCATCCTTCGCCCCTTAATTTAGCCTCAAACGTTCTTTATCACATGTCTATATCTTATGAATACCGTATACCTTCAGTATCACTTCACTCCGCCACCTCCTCATTCTCTCACTTCCCACATCGTCAACACTTTTACACCTCCAGCATTTTCTGCCTTGTTAAAACACACATGCATGACATTCGGACAGAGTCTTGGGTTCTTAGTATTAGTTGGGGAATGACGGAATGTCGGTACTTCCTCGACTCTTCGCAGCCAGGGCGAGTCTTTTACATGATACTTCCTCTTCACCAAACATCTTTCAGTGCTACAGAAGTCTGGTGTCTTATGTGTATGTGTGTGTGAGTAGGTTTGCGAACCATTGGTGTGATCACCAAATTGGATCTCATGGATGAAGGAACTGATGCCAGAGATATCCTGGAAAACAAACTGCTGCCCCTCCGTAGAGGTAAAAAAAAACATTTAATTACACCTGGATATTCATGTTACGTTTTAGCGGGAAACAAAACCCAAAGCTTAAAACCAGCTAACATATCTATGGCAACAATGGTCCGCTGTCTCTCGCTGTCAGGTTACATCGGTGTGGTGAACCGCAGTCAGAAAGACATTGATGGAAAGAAGGACATCAATGCGGCGCTGCAAGCCGAGAGGAAGTTCTTCCTGTCTCACCCGTCGTACCGACACTTGGCCGATCGCATGGGCACGGCGTACCTTCAGAAAACCCTCAACCAGGTAAACACACATCAACAACGTTCAGTCTTATGAATCATCTTAGTCTCTAGCTACTACTGGCACATCCGATAAGATAGGCTAGCTCAGTTAGCAGAACACAAGGCTCTTAATCCTAAAGCTGTGGGTTCAATCCCCATGCATGGAGTCGTTTGTGGTTCCATAGCGTGCCTGCCTTACACGTAGCAGGTTCTTCTAGAGGTACCACCTACGAGGCACCACCTGTTGGGCAACCTGCTGCAGCAGATCTATCTTTTTTTCTAATCTCTAACATGGTAAAATGGCTCTTCTCATCTTCACATATAGCAACTGACCAACCACATCCGAGACACCTTACCAGCATTTCGCAGTAAACTTCAGAGCCAGCTGTTGTCTATTGAGAAGGAGGTGGAGGAGTACAAGAGCTTCAGACCCGACGACCCCAGCCGCAAGACCAAGGCCCTGCTGCAGTCAGTACTCACCATACTGTAACACAAAAGAAAATACATGGGGCACAGATTTACACAGTAATGCTCGTGTTTATGCAGAAGATTAGACAGTAACGCATCGGGATGTAACGATGCATCGGGAATTGATTAAAAATGTATGCGTTCGTAACGGTTAAAATTTAAAATGAATCGCGCATCAAGCCAAAAGAGTAGGCTGTGTTAACTCAAAAAGTCACTGGTCATACCATGACAGTAAACACTCCAGTACAGTAGGTGGCGGTATGCGCCTAAAAATGTTGTCTCTGACCTGTTATTAAACCAACATGTCAAGTCTCTACGTAGCTTAAGTGACATTCAGGTGTTGAAACAGAACGTGGGAAGAACTTGTTCCACAGACACCAACAATGTTTTACAGAGTTTCTGTAAAGAAAGGAACTCTTTCCAGTTCATATTTTTTATACTCTTGTGTTGTTCAATATATTGACAGTTAACCAGGTTCACAGACCATGTCAGAATTACAGTATAATTTATCATCATTTATCTGGGGCTAAAAAAAAATCGTGAATTGTGACTTGAGTATCGTTACATCCCTAGTAACACGTACTAACTTTAAATGAAAAAAATTAAATTAAATAACTCTCTACCTTGTAAATGTGTGCGTGTGTATGTGTTCAGGATGGTGCAGCAGTTTGCAGTGGATTTTGAGAAGAGGATTGAAGGATCTGGAGATCAGGTGGACACATATGAGCTGTCAGGGGGGGCGAAAATAAACAGGATCTTTCACGAACGTTTCCCCTTTGATCTGGTCAAGGTAGAGTGAATATACACACACACACAAGGTTGTGCTCTAAAAATCTAAAGACCGGGTTTGTTCAGTGTTATAATGTGTGTGTGTGTGTGTAGTTGGAGAGTGATGAGAAGACTCTGCGTAAAGAGATCAGCTACGCCATCAAGAACATCCATGGAATCCGGTCAGTCCCCGGTGTGACCCAGTCTGTGAGTCTTTGTCAGTTTGTGTTTGGTTCCTGACTGTTTACTGGTTCTGATGTGTTTTTGTCCAGGACCGGTCTGTTTACGCCCGACATGGCATTTGAGACCATTGTGAAGCGCCAGATCACTCTGATCAAAGAGCCGTGTCAGAAATGTGTGGACATGGTGATAAGTGAGCTGGTCAACACGGTCAGGCAATGTACGCAGAAGGTACTACATGGTATACTCTCTGAATACATGGACTTTAGGATAAAGTGTTCATTCCTTCTAAGGTCGAAAAAATTGTACATGTGGCAAATAATTTAACAAATGAAAAACATTTCTAGGAAACAAGATGCTCTAAACAATCACTGTTTTATTTTATTCTAATTTAATTTAATTTATATTATTTCATTTCTTAATTTATTTATTTTTTAAAATTTTGTTATTTTGTTATTATGTTGTGGCGCTTTGGCCCAGAGGCAATGTCTCTGTCATTGGTGTGGAACCTCAGGGTTCACCTCTTGGGCAAGTTCGAATCCCGGTTAGGGCGGTTGGTACCTTCCAGTGGACTCACCACCCGCAGGAAGGTTTGGGGGGTTGGTACGGTGCAATGTGATCTGGGTGGCGACTGCTGCCCCCGCGACCCGGTAACGGATAAGCGGATGAAAATGGATGGATGGATGGATGGATGTTATTATGTTATTTTTTTTTTGGGAATGTGAAGTCATTGAATATATACAAATGTCATCATTCTTCATCTTCTTCCACCTCTTCTTCTTGTCCTTTCACAGCTGGCCCAGTATCCAATGCTGCGAGAGGAGATGGAGCGAATAGTGACTCACCACATCAGAGACCGGGAGAGTCGCACCAAAAACCAGGTGTGACACTGTTACAATAACAAATCCATGTGACTGTCTGTGTTAGCTTCCTGCTACTAACATTCTCCTGTGTGTGTGTCCAGGTCATGCTGCTTATTGACATTGAGTTGGCCTACATGAACACAAACCATGAAGACTTCATCGGCTTTGCAAAGTAAGAAAAGCACATTTTTAGACAACATTCTGTAGAAAGTACAACACAACATACAGCAGATTGATTAACCCTTTAGGGCCTAACACGAAAAAATATCCCCAGACAGGTTTACATTTTTGGAAGTGAGATGTTTATTTAATATTATAACTTATTATTTTATCATATATATCCACTAGGGGGCAGAATGTGAATCATACACAACAGGTTTTTAAGAAAATAATTGATCATGTTGATGTTAAAGCACTAGATCTCAGAAACCTGTGTATCAAATATGATACAAATGTTTTTTGTCCGATAATATTGGCCGACTGATATTAGCATAATTATGTAATATCTGTAAGAATCCATTTTTTTTCTCAGATAATAAAAACTTGATATGCAATGCCTGGGTTTCACAATATGATGTGTGCTATAAAAATGGTTTTGGGGAAAAACGTCTGTATATTAAAGTGACAGTCACTAGATGGCAGCATTGCAGCAGTGAGTGTGTGTGTTTTCACCAATATTGATCTATTTATTTGATCTGGGCCAGTGCTCAGCAGAAGAGCAGCCAGATGAGCAAGAAGAAGGCCGCAGGAAACCAGGTGAGTCACCACACCTTTACCTGAGAGGGACAGGAAGTGGAGTGGAGTGATTTCCCCTCATTCATAAAACCTCTCTCTTTCTCACCACTCTGTCTTTTCATCCTCTTTTATGCCACTCGTGTCATGGTTGCCAGGATGAAATAATGGTAAGTGGTTCTCCCTCTCTCTCCCTCTCTCTCACTTACTCACTGTCACTCTCTCTACCTCTGTGTGTGAGCAGTGGCACTAATACACCGTGGGAACAGCTCTGGATCCAATGTATTTAAACCTACTTGATTGGCACAGTGTTGCACTTTGACAACCTGTCAATCTCTTATCATAAGTAGGGATGTAACTATACACTCAAGTCACGATACGATAAAATTGCGATTTTTTTTTTTTTGCTTGTTTTTCCTTTTGTTCTTCCCATGTTCTGTCAATTAGGCTATGTAGGGACCTGACTTCTGTGTTTAATAGTGGGTCAGGACCAATGTTCTTAGGCACATCCTGCCACCTACTGTACTGGAGTGTGTAGTGTCACGGTATGAACAGTGACTTTTTGAGACAACACAGCCTACTCTTTACACCTTGATGCGTGATTCATTTTTTTATTTCAACAGATGTGAATTGTAACGCATCTGTGTTGATTTTCAACCAATTCGCGATGCATCGTTAAATCTCTAATCATCATGCATAATCAAGTATAGTGTATTCATTTTAATTTTAATTACATTTTATTTTAATTTTGTATTAATATTATAAACCATAGAATCATATAAATTATTTCACATATATTGGTCTGGTGGTGGTGCTCAGCTTGCTCAAAGGATAATGTGCTACTAATAACACCCAGAGAAAGTATGTGTACTGTACTTGTGTACAGTACTGTAAAATACTTGGTCTGCCAAATGTCTGAGAAAACTGATTCTTGTAGGTAAAAAAAACTTCTAAACAAATAATTTCAACATCAAATGGGCAAAAGGTCAGATATTTGACAGTATTTCATACATTTTCACTTTTGTAGGTGTGCAGCACCACAGAGGAGGGGAGCTCTGGCCCTCACTGACTGTCAACCACCTTTGACTTTGACTTAATGAATTTTGTATAATTCTATGGTTTATTTTTTAAGGTCCTACTTTAATATTATTTTTCTTCAACTTGTCGTTGAGTAATGATCAAGGGTAACGATGTCACGGCAACTAAATTAGTGACATCACAACAACATTAACTGATGTGTGCAGGTGATTCGTAAAGGTTGGCTCACCATCAATAACATCGGAATCATGAAGGGTGGCGCTAAAGAGTACTGGTTCGTCCTCACAGCAGAGACCCTGTCCTGGTACAAAGATGACGAGGTAACGCATCAACTGAACGCAATCACGATCTCGGAGCGACATCGGTTCTAAGCTGCGCTGCTGTTTTCACTTTTCGCAGGAGAAGGAGAAGAAGTACATGCTGCCTGTGGACAATCTCAAACTGAAGGACATTGAGAAAAGTTTCATGTCCAGCAAACATATCTTTGCTCTGTTCAACACTGAGCACAGGTACGTGAGGGTGAAAATAAGGACTGATTTAACAGTCAATGTGATAATTTAAACTTTTTAAAAGATGTTCCTCAGGGCACCAGACTGGGCCATCTTCTGTTTATAAAGTAACATACAATATTACATTAATTATGTGTATATGTTTATAGGAATGTGTACAAGGATTACCGTCAGCTGGAACTCGCCAGTGAGTCCCAGGAGGAAGTGGACAGCTGGAAGGCCTCATTCCTGCGGGCTGGAGTGTACCCTGAACGCAGCGTGGTACAATTCATTATTGTTTATTATGTCATTCACTACTTCACTAATAAGTACACGTACTGTGTACTATTGTGTACTTGGCAGTACACAATAGTACAGTACGTTGTGTGCATCATGAACTTACTATACTACAGTATATTAAATGTGCTAAGGTATAGTTTTGTTAAAAACAAAGCCTAAGGTGCTTTTTATCAGTACCTTGATATACTATAGTGTATACTGTGGTATACAGCAGCGGCCCCCAACCTCTTTTGTACCAAGGACTATTCGGTACTGGTCGTTACTGCAGACCAGTAGTTTCGCGCCAATGGCTGGATGATCATTAGATTTTTAAAATAAAACATCTTTTAGACTTTATTCTGTCTGGATGACGTATTATTTTGAAATATTGACAGATTTTCCTTAAATGAGGAAAGTAAAGGGATATGACTGGATTCTCTTTGAATGTAGTAAATTGGTAAAACTGAAGTACATTTTTTCACTGTGTCCCACTGTGGATCGGTACCAAATGACCGGTACTGGTCCGTGGACCTGAGGTTGAGGACCCCTGCTTTACAGTGTACCTTTTCTACTGTCATTTTAATGTTTGCTTTGTTTTTCTTCCTGCAGGACAAAGACAAGGTGAGTCTGTTCTTTTTCTGTAGATCTAGTATTCCTCTGTTCATGTGCACTTACTTTGGTCATGTGTATTCACAAATACGTCTAATAAAAGTGCAGGTACATGAAGTATCTAACGGTAATTAAACATGGTTCCAGGGTGAAGCGGAGGAGTTGAGTGGTGACGGACAGATCCACAGTCTGGACCCTCAGTTGGAGCGACAGGTGGAGATTGTGAGGAACCTGGTGGATTCATACTTGGCCATCATCCACCGCACAGTCAGAGATCTAATCCCCAAGACCATAATGCACCTGATGGTCAACAATGTATGATGGAGTCACACACACATGAACGTGTATCGACACACATCAGAGGTCAGATAATGACTTTGTTTTTTTTTTACTTCTCAGACCAAGGAGTTCATTCACGCTGATCTCCTGGCTCAACTTTACTCCTGCGGCGACCAAAACACCCTGATGGAGGAGTCTCAGGAGCAGGTGAGGACTGGAACTGACTCTGCAGGCTAGGGCAGGCACGGGCAAACTATGGCCCAGGGGCCTGGATATGGCTCGTTTGGCTTTTTAATACGAAATTTCACTTCCTTACCCTCTGTCTTTGCCTCCCGACCAGGCTCAGCACCGCGATGAGATGTTGAAGATGTACCACGCACTGCGTGAAGGCCTCAGCATCATCAGTGACATCAGCACCACCACCATCACCACAGCCATGCCACCACCGGTCGACGACTCCTGGCTGCAGGTGACGGGGATACCATCAGGACGCAGGTATCCGATAAGTACCCCAGTACCTGCATCAGTTTTACTTTGTGTTCACGCAGCACCACTGATTCCTGGTTCCTCACCCCTGCAGGTCTCCCATGTCCAGCCCCACCCCTCAACGCCGGGCCCCTCCTGGACCTCCACGCCCTGGTGGTCGTGCAGCCCCTGGACCACCAGCCCGTCCTGCGGTGTCCCCCGACCCTGGACCCCCACCTTCTGTTCCCTCCCGGCCCAACAGAGCACCCCCACCTGGAGTGCCAAGGTAAATACGTGGTTGAGCCGAACTTAGTTAAAAACAATGTGGTCAAATAAGTAATTACAACACTTGTCCTGTTTTTATCAACTTCTTACAAAAACTTTTCCCACGATGCAATGAGGCTCAAGTTCAGTCTCTGAAGTCGATAGTTGTGACGACACCTGATTTTTATGATTTTTCTTCTACCTGGAGCCACGGAAGGTGTCAGTGGTTTTGTATTGGGAGGCGATTGTTTGTTGTTGTTTTGGGGTTTTGTCATAGGCAGAAAAGCAGCGATCCACAAACACCCAACACAGACATGGAAAAGAAAGACCTCTCTATCTTTCTTTCTCTCTTCCTTTTCTCCCTCTCCTTCTTTTAGTCTTCCTCTCCATCAACAGACTCTTCATCTCCTCTATGATTCTTATTACAAGTGGTTAGCCTATCTCTGCACAGCAAAACAGGAAAGTGTTAGCATATTAGTGTTGTAAAAAAACACATTATATTATATTATATTATATTATATTATATTATATTATATTATATTATATTACCATAGTCAAGTCATCACTTAAAATTAAGCTCAGACTAGGGGTCTGAATATTGATACGCTAATCGCTAGCTCATCTGGGCTAACCACAACAAAATGAGCCCCGTGTGGACTCATTGACTCTTTCATTCCGAAATCTTTACATCGACATGTACCTGGAGCCATGTCTGTCCCTTTGTCTGTCTGTCTCTTTATCTCTCCTTGTTTTCGTGTCTTTTCCCCTGCATTTGTCCTGCTCCATTTGTCCATTTTTTTATCATTCTGTCTCTCTTTGGCTGCGTCTTTCTCTTCTTCTTTTTCTCCCCTCGTCCCCTGTGTCTGTCTGTCCATACGTCCACATCTGTCCGCCTGTTCCCTCTGTTTGTGTGATCCTGTTTTAACGGCACCTGACTGGAATCTCTCAGGTGTCTCAGTGTCAGCGCAGGTAGCCCCGCCCCCTCTGCCTCCTCCCTCCTATTGACGATATATGGTTATTCTTTCAGAATCTCTATCAGTGACCAGTGAGGAATTCACCAATGGTACGTCAGCTGTCTATGTGATGTCACCATCTTTCACCGATTGTTCCTCTGTGTGTGTGTCACTCATTGTCCATCTAGACTGAGGTCCTCAACATTTGACCACGCCCACTCGCTCAATGGCATTGTATGTAGCCATGTTGTTGACGACTCCATCAGCCTGTTACTGACTGTTTGTCCATCTGTCTGTCTCTCTCACTCTCTCTCTCCCTCTCCCTCTCTCCCTCTTCCTCTCTCTCTCATTTGTGTTCTCTCCAGTCGGAGGGCACCTGCATCTCCATTACGATCTTCCAGACCAGCCTCAGAATCCTCTCTCTGAATCCTCCCTCTGACACACACACACAGACACTTTATGAAAAGATATTTCTGCTAACATTAACACATGCTATAAGCACAGAATCCACAACCATTTATATTTTTTACTAGCCTTAACCCCCTCATTCAAATAGCTCCATATCGTAACTTTGTAACTGTCCATTTACGTCAGTTAATCCCGCTCAAGTGGAAGCAGTCAGCTAGCTCAAAGTCACCCAACACCAAACACCTGTGTGAGGGGAGTTCATAGACAAACACTTCGAACAGAGCAGGGTGGTAACTGGGCAGATTTAAAACAGACACCATTTTTAATGGTTCTGATTGGTCCCTAAACCCTATTTTGACCTGGCTGTTGTTAGTTCAGATCCCCACAATGAGCGTCCTCTTTTCTTGATTGAGTTGTATTTTTCAACAAGTCTGCTAAGAAGAAGCAGTGTATTCATTTATTGGATCCATCCCTGCCTTGCTTAAGGTTGTTGGTTTAATTCCACATTGTCCAAAGCCCCATGTTGGGCTACAGGAAGGGAAAAAAACAAATAACTAACATTGTTGAATAATATTGTAATAACCTTTGTTGAGTTTATTTAATTGATTTAATGAAGGTGATACTTAAAACCTCAAGCTCTATTGCTGTAATGTGATTGGTTAATGTAGTTAGCAGAAAAACACCATAGTAGGACAAGAAATGACTTGACTTGAAAGCTTGAGATCCAACCCAAAGTTCCAATGAACAGCTGTTTGGTCTGGCCCAGAGTGTTTAAGGGAAGTGTTTAACGGAAGAGAAATGCACCAGCAGGTGAAAGAATTTTGCGTTTGGTTCTTTCAAAATAAAATGCTCAGTCTTACTTTGAAACGGAAGCATTCATATCACCATATACAGGTGAAGGATTTGTTTTTGATGTTATTTCCAAAGGAATTTTCATGCTGGGGTGGTGCTGAATGCAGTATTACACAATCCATCTGGTTTCCACTGCTTTTGGCTGGTTTAATCCAATTCCAATTGGTTTGTACGAGCTGGGTTTTTTTAAAAATGTATTATCATTATTGTTACAATGTGCACTTTTTTCCCACCAGTTCCAGAAGAGTAGCACTTAATGTCTGAGGTGACCCGTTATTCTGGAATCATCCGTGTGTTTTCCTCTTTATTTAATGCAATTCTCTTGTTTTCTCTTTCTTTGTGGTTCTTTTGTTTTTGTTTTGTTGTTGCTAGTCGTCCGAACAAAGGTAGCCCCGCCCACGGAGAGAGCCCTCAGTCTTCTATCGAAGGTTAACCCGAGCCACGTGCATGTTTGTGTCTCCACTGAACTGTTATCCTGGTCTCTGACGATGATGTTCTGTTGCTGTGAAACTCCACATAATTATGACAATAACGATAATTATTATTACGGTATTGACGATCAGCACATCTTTAACACGTATAGCAAATGGTTAGTAAAGGAGTGTATAAATACTGTATGTCCTATAGCTGTGTGTTTGCTGTCGGGAGTGTGGGACAGGTGACGTCCTGCCTGTACGCCACCTGCTGTCCATCTCCTCACGTCAACAAATTTTTAAAGCACCAACTCCAGAGATGAAATTAAGGGGATGATGCTTCACTATTCAGATACTCAGGCTGCTCTGAGATCAGCCTGTAAGCCTTACTATCTGCATCACGAACTGGAGTTCATTTTTAATTTATGGGGTTGTTTTTTTTTTCTGTTAAGTTTATATATTGTTTCAACTCCTGTATTTATTTATCTGTCTTCTTCTATCTATAGATCTCTGTATTTATTTATTTATTTATTTATTATTACGGCACTCATTCGGAGGGTGGTTTCAACTGGTCCTCGGCTGGATGTCTTTCGGCCGTTTTTAGAAAACAAAGATGACTACTCCCAGTGTCTCTAAATTGATTTTCCTAACATATTTAACACTGCACATTCCAGAATTATTATATATATATAAATTATTTTGTCCCTGCTATTGCCTTCTATTCACAGTACATATTCATAAACGTAATAAACATATGCAGCCGTGTAAAGACTGAGTCGACCCTGGCTCTACGACAGACCATAAATCTCCAGTGTGTGGTAACTGCTGGTCCTTTTATTCTCCCCCGTGTGTGTTCTTTATGCTGTGGTGTCTCTAGATTTAGTCGAGCTCTGAGCTGCCTTCAACACCGTACCATCAGTGGGTCAACACTCCGCGTGTTAGAAGAATGGTGTTGTAGTCGTGAAGTGTCCTGATGTTTAAAAAAAAACAAAAAACGTCAGCATGGTTGTTCAGGTCCATCTTTAAACAAAAAAGTGTGGTTTTGATTTGAACATGGTTCAGCTGTAAACCGTGCAGCAGTAGCAGTGTGTTGAACGCAGCTCGGCCTCAGTCAGGCACTTGTGTGATCGTGGTTAGTTAACGTAAATGTATGAAGATTATAACATAACATATCTGTGAGAAAGATATCAAAATCTATTAAACTTAAATATGCAGCCGGCCTAGACTGTAGTGTATGTGTGTGTTACTCTGTGGGTGTGGGTGTATCTGTGTTCTGTATCTCAGTGTTGTGTGATCTGGGCCAAGAGATGTGAACGTGAATAAAGTTGGTGTGAATGAAGAAGAAAGCCTCCTGTTTTTGTTTTTTGTTGTTTTTGACTCAAGATTTTTCACTGTCACTCCATAATCACCAGTGACTGATTTACCTGGTTACTGATACGAAGTGTCACTTGTCATTTATTTATTTATTTTGTACAAATACTGATGTGAGATTGTCAAAGCAATAATTTGCACCCAGATTTGTCCTTGTCAAAATGACAATGTATTTCTAATCCTGGATTTTTTTATAGGCTTAGATTTTAGATTTTTTTTAGATTAGAATTTATCTCACCTAAAAACAAAACAAACATAAAGCAGATATAGTTTTAAAATATCTACTTAAGGGTTAACAATCTTACAAAAAAGAATGTGAAGCTTAAACTCGGAAGTAACTGAAAGGTACTTGAAGGTACAAATTATAAATTAGCTTTATTAGCACAGGAAGTTATCTGTAATTTCCTTGGTTGGTCATGTCTATGTGATTATAATTAAAATCCATGAACACAGAGACTTGTGCAACACAAACCATTTTCTTAAACTTCTGTAAAAAAAAGAAAGAAAGAAAATCCACTGGTTAGCTATGTTTTTAGGGCTAGCCTGCTGAAGGCTATATTTCAACGAACGCAACACGTTTTCTTTGTTTGTATTTTGAGATGTTGCGCTAGCCTAAAGAAATTATGTCACAGAAAACGTGCCGTAAATACAGCTAATGTTGCTCTGATAATTATTGCAACAGTGAAAATAGCGTAAACATAACTAAATACATGACATGACGCGATGTATCATTTTTAAAATGTAGAAAACCCCATCCTGTTAAAGGTGTAATATTTAATGGCGGCCAACAGGTGGCAATGCTGCTGCATCACTAGTGATCCTCACTAAAGAGGTTTTTTTTTTTTTTAACTGAGACCTGGAAAGGAAGAGAGATAGAGAAGTGAGGTAGAGGGAGACAGTCAACATTGAGAGGCAGGAAGGAAAGAAGGAGGTTAAGAGACAACAACAGAGTGAGAGAAGAAAAAAGTAAGAGAAAACTAACAGCGACAGCATTTTAATCTGTCACTCTGCCGAGTAGGAACCTGACCGTCAAATGTGGACCTCTCCTAAATCAGACAGTAAGACAGGTAAGTGTCCTGAACTCCTCTGTGATATGAAGACACGCTTCTACATATAAAGTGTTCACTTCTGTGTGTTCTGTCATTGTTGTTTGAACTGTGACAATGACTTCCCTTTTTTAGCCTCTCATTTAGTCTCTCTCACCATGAGGCTGAAGGATAAACTGCACGCACAGCGAATCAAACACCACCAGAGAAGTAAACCACCAGACCTTAACTTACAAGACCACACACTGCTGTATAAGGTAAAGTCACACAGTAGAATGTGATGTACTGTACATGGTATTATTCTATATGTACACACAGCAGTACAGGGTTTGATACTTTAGGTCTATGTTCAGGAAATTTGTTTTTTTGGCTTTGGTAGAACCCTAAATGTATTGCTATTTTTTATCATGCAACGCATTTTAGACCATATGGTTAAAGAAGTGGTTACTACGCCTGTCTTACAGCATAGAGGTCACCAGTTCACGCGTCCAATCCCTGGGTATACTTTTGTGTTTGAGCCTTTTTCTCATGTGTACCTGGGTTTTTTCCCCTGACATTTTGGTTTCTTGCCATAGTCAAAATACAATCACATCAGGTTAAGTTAGTTTCTCGCTCGAAATTAACCAATGATGTGAATGGTACTGTGAATGGTTCTTTTCTGTACACTAGCCGGCCCTCAACTCATGACTGTTGTGGTCCTACAGTGAACCGTGAATTTTAACACTGACAGGTGCCTGTGAGTCATAATAGAGGGCAAAAAGTTTCAAAAAAATATGCCGTACTACCAACAAATTTAAAGAGTCGTCTTTCTCATCGGAATAATAAGGGAACTAAGACTTTTTAAATAAGTTAATAAGTTAGGGGGTGTGGTGACGTGACAAGGAATCGCTGTAAGTTGAGGACGTCGTAAACTGAGGACCCCTGGTGTCGCCCTGTCCTGGAAAAAAAATTGGTTGTGTTTATTTGTAAATCAACTGATTTTCGTAATTCGTGTAAATTCAAGCCAGTAATTGACAACATATTGATAAAATATTTAGTAAGTACTGTAGGTTTTTATTGATATTATTTAGTTATTATTATTCTGGTTGAATATGATATCATTAAAGAAAAGTACTTCCTGGACGTCATAAGTTCTACCAGGGCATTCTTTCTGCAGCAACACACTGGGTGAAGTAATTCTGATTCTATAAGGTAGTCCTGAGTCAACATGACTTCGTGTTCCACAGGAGTGTGGTTTCTAGTGCAACACTGCCCACAGACTCAGAGGTTACACACACACACAGAAAGTTCTCCTGTCGTTAATCTCACTGTGGATGCTAACGGCTCTGAATAGTTTAATATTTATTCACAAGTCATGTCACAGAGTTCAACTCCAAGTGTTGAGCCTCGACCAAGGACCTGATCTCTGTCCTTCCACACCCTGACTTCATTCTTCAGACCATCTCTGTTTGCCCTGGTACTTCAGGAATATCACAGTATTTTGACTTTTTTACTTTGTCTTTGTCTCCATTCCATTGTTATTAAGCAGAGAATACACACCGCAACACATAACCTGGACATAGTACTGCAAAAAGGATGCACAGTTAAAATGTTAAAATTGTATGAATCACAGGGGAGCTCGATTAATTAATTAATTAATTAATTAAGATCACCCACATAATGCAACTACCAGACGCAGTACCCGAAAAATTATACATACTGAAAAAAGGGTTCATACCACAACGGTTAACAATAGCAAACAATTAAAATGTAAAAATATGATTAATCACAGGGGAGCTCGATTTATCACGATTAACCATGATTAATTGAGAGCACCCACATAATGCAACTACCAGACACAGTACTCTATATGTACTGAAACAAATGGTACATCCAAAACAATAAAAGACGGCAAATTAATAAAATTATAAAATCTAATTAATCACCGGGGAGCTCAATTAACCATGATTAATTGATATAACACACATAATGCTACTACCAGACACAGTACTCCAAAAGTATACTTAACCCTTAAAAAAGGCTACATTCCAAATTGATTAACAGTGGAAAATCTGATTAATCACAGTGTAGCTCAAATATTCATGATTAATCACGATTAATTGAGATAAAATAATATGACGAAAAACTGCTGGAACAAACAACAGTAACAGTAGGTAGATTCAGTGTTTTTGTTTTTTATTCGTGTCTTATCCAAATGGTGGAATTATTAAAAATAACTAAAGATATTCTGTAGCCGTCGTAGGTCATTCATGTAAAAACCTCCATCCATTGGTTAATGACATGACCTCATCCATTCCGTTTTTCTCTGTGCAGCCTGGTTGTGTACTGCTGGACCATCAGCGGGCAGTCATCAGCTCCCTGCAGTACTTCAAGGCCGTGGTAGACAGACTGGGTGTGGACACACCTGGAGGGAACAAACAGGTCCTGGACCAGACAGTGGTGGGAAATCTGGTGGGCGGTACCTCCACGGACGTGTTGGAGGCGGTCCAGACTCTGGTCCGTCTAGAGCCTCACCTGAAGACCAGGTAAAAAAATAAAACTAGACCCCTGTGACTAGTTACCACCAGGATTTGACCTGACCTCTGACCCTGATCTTTCCCTTTTATTTTTTTGTTCCGTCTACAGCAAAACTATCTCCACCTGTCTCACCAGTCTGTACCAGTCTCTGGCTCAGCTGATTGGCTGGGCAGACCAGGTTCTCCTGCAGGGGTGCATCTCCCATGAAGATGAGAAGGCGACGGCCGGTGTTACCACGGTGATCAGAGCAGTGTTGGACAAGGTCAAGGTGAGGAGGAACGTGAGGAGGAAAATTACTTTTTATGGTTAAACATTAATACACACTCTATTAATTGGTGTATGTGTGTATAAAGGTCATACCGGAACATTTTAATTGATCCTACGCTTGGGAAATTCTTGTGTTACCAGCAAATTTACCCAGCTGACTTTACCCTTGCAAATATGTGGTTCCTTAGGAAATCGACCTCAGGACCACTTAGCCTGTACAATCCCCTGATGATTAGAATAGATTAAAAAAATGAACCACAATGCTGCCATCTAGTGGCTTTTACTTTGATATACAGCCGTTTTTCCCCAAAACTATTTTTAAGGGCACAGATATTACATTATTATGCAAATATCGGTCGGCCGATATTACTGGACACCCCTATTGCTCCATCCTGTCGAATGTTAAATATTGTTTTTAAATCTCTACCTTTATCCTGTGAATGTTCCATTCCCTGCCATTCTAAGACATCTGTCCTGTCCTCCTGCTCCTATGTCCATCAGGATCTGGTTCGATTTGCCGGAGAGAGACAGGACGGTTGTGTCCCACTGTCCCCTGTCCTGTCAGAACCTGACGTGGAACAATGGGGAGATGTTGATGACCAGAAGTCCTGGAGCTGCAGTAGTCCTGCAGAGGAACTCACATCCCCCCCACCAAAACCTCAAATGCCCTTCTTTCAGCTGCAGTTGGGTCCTGGTCCTGGGTAGGGTCTTAAACACACACACACACACACACACACATCTGTTTAAATGGTCTTGGGTAGGTGAACACTTAACCACACTGTAACACGTTTGAACATGACTGAGTGGACAAACTAGGCTGTGGTGTGAAACAGGAAGTTGAAGAACATATGCCGTGGCGTCTGACTTCCTACCCGTGTGAACGCACGACAGGAAGTAGAAGCGAAAAAGTTAAAGTGATGCAACACGTTTTGGATTTAAAATTTGGATTTTAAATGGATCTCGACGGAATATCAAATCATAAATTCCATTTCCTGTTTCTCTTCCTTTTTATGTCTCCGTCCATGCCGTATATTACACCGTCTGTGTCCCTCCTGTCTATCTCTGTCTCTATATCTTCCCTCTGTTTTTCTCTATTCCTCTTTCTGTTCCTGTTTTTGTGTCTCTTTCTTTTCCTGCCAGTTCGACGTCTCCGTTTTTGTTTCTATAGCGTCTCGGTGCTTTCCTTCGTGTTTCTGTCTTTGTCCGTCTCTGTGAGTGTGTTCCCTTGAACATTTTCACTTTCAAACATGAATCACTTTATACCATATTTATTCTTCTGTTTTCATTAGTTTTATTCCCTGTTGTCTTGTGTTTTGGTTTCTCCTCCAGACCTCCAGCCCTGCCTCCTAAAAAGCGTTCATCCTCAGGTAAACCCCCCTGCAGGGTTGCCATCGTTGCACCAATGAGACGAGAACCTGAAGCTAACACACAGACACAGGTGATTTATCTGTTCAATACTAGACTTGCATTAAAGGTCCAGCTCGTGTAAATATTAAAAGTGTCTAATTTCAGGAGTGTGACGACGACCCTCTGAAACGACGTTCTTCTTGCACAGACTCATCTGCTGAAGTCATACACTGTGGTAACACACACACACACACAGATACACATTTCCAGTCACCAGCCAGGGGTGTTGATGACATCACTTCCTTCGAGCTGACAGAAATAAATGTCAAGTTTGTGTCACTGCCTGTGTGAAGGAGGGTGCTAAACTGCTGCCCCCTGTTGGCGCAATACAGGTAGTGACACTGATACGCACAATGGTCAGAAACTACAAATAAATGGTGTGTGTTTACAGACTCAGAGGTGATTCAGGAGGCAGACCCAGACTACCAGTTCCTCCATACGGACCTCTCCTGCTTTGACGCTCTCCCCCCGATTCTTTTGCCGTTGACAATCCCTCCTGCGCTGCCTGAGAAAAAAAGATGCAACACAGCGGGTAAGAGAAAGAAAATGGAAGTTTCCCTCCCTCCCTCCTTCCTCCCTGCCTCTGCATCTGCCTCTGCACGTGTCTGAAACATTTGTTGTCTCCAAAACTCAGACACGACCAACTCTCAGACCACAAATTATTTCGAGTCTGACCTCACAACCCAAGAACTCAAAGAGTGTACAGATCCCGATGACACTGTAACGTCCCCCCTGTCCCCTGTGAAGTCCCCGCCCCCCCTTCCTGAGAAGAAACGACACAGTGAGTAAAACGCAGAAATCCTCCAATCATCTGAAACCCTGAGTTGTCTGAGTTGTTGTCGTCTCCTCCTCTCTGCGTTCAGTCCACCAGTACCTGAAGATCTGCTCGTCGTACAGCGCTCAGTCCACAGCCATGTTCTACCAGACCCCGCAGACCTTCGGTCTCAGTCACAGCCCCAAAGAGCTGCTGGTGGAGACCAGTAACCAGCTGATGCAGACACACCTGGAGACCGAGCCGCTGCCCGACTCAGACTCCAACACCCCTCCTGGTTTGTCCTTTGCTCCAGCTCTACCACCAAAGAAGAAACAGCAGGTATTAGCGGGCACTAAATCTGAGCCATCTCTGTCCGTGCGCTGCTGAGGGAAGTTCAAAATGACAAATGCATCGTGTTCACCACGTGCTTCAACTTAGTTTTTACGCTGACCCCTGACCTTTGATGCGTAATTTGATCATTTGAAATTAAATACAAATTAACTGTTTTGTGGAAATTTTATTGGGTTTAGACCGGGGTGTCAAACTCATTTTGGTTCACAGGCTGCATACAACCTAATTAGGTGTTAAGTCAGACAATCATAACCATTTTCCCCTATGTTTTTATCCAATTAAGTACCGGTCTCTGAGATACATATTATTATTTATATTTAATGAAATATAATTTTACAAAAAATATCCTGAACATGAAGTGTTTGTGTATTTCTTTATTTTCAAGCGGGCCGGATTAAACATTGTGAGCCGCTTTTGGCTCTCACGAAAATCATTTTGCAATTTTATATACGAAAGTAAAACCTCTCTGAGAAAATAAATAATCCTTGAATCTGAGATTTGTGTGTATTTATACTGTGGGTTGCGGGCCACAAGTGACGCCTTTTATTACACAGGCTCTGTCTGTATTTATGACAGGATCATCACGATCCACCCCAAGACAAGAACCAGGAAGAGGGAGGCAGAAACAGGTGAGACACAAACCCATTAAACTAGAGTTCAACTCACCTGTACCAGGACACACTGGGTGACACTGGTCTCTGCTCTGTAGTCTGCAGGAGGAAAAATGTGACCAGTGGAGCAAAGACAAGCAGGATGACTTGTTACTGACCGACCACCAGGAGATTTTTAACAGAATCACCATGAAGACAAAGGTATTTGATTTCATCATCTGATCGATGTCGTACACATCCTTACTTTTGTTTTCTGACCTTTGAGCCATCACTGTCTCAGGAAGAAGAAGGACCAGATGTAAAGGCTGCCTCCTCTGAGGTCCTGTTGGTTTACGCAACAGAGACTGACAGCAGCACTGGTAAGATCTGATTCAATTTCTTTTTCACCTCCACACTAGTATTTAGTAGCATTCAAATTAGGGATGTTCGATATTAACTTTTTGCTGATATTCGATATGCCGATATTGTCCAAACATTTCTGATCAACCGATACCGATATAGCAGGGCAGTGGTGGCCTAGTGGTTAGAGTACAGTAGAGTAGGGCTTTATTCATTAGGGAAGTTAAGTGCCGTGTGGTCACTAAGATGAGTTAAAGCAGTGTTTCTCAATTATTTTTTGCCATGCCCCCCCTAGGAGACAGAAGTATTTATTTATCTGTACAAACTGCTGTATGAGTTGCTGGCACCAGCATTCTGCATACAATCTCCTGATTATTAGAATAGATTAATAAAATGAACTGCAATGCTGCCAATGCTGCCAAGTGACTTTCACTTTTATATACAGCAGTTTTTCCCCAAAACAATTTTTGGGCACGTACCATTTGGCAAAGCATTATTGGGTTTTCATTATTGGAGAAAAAATTTGCATTATAATTATGCTAATATCGGGCCATTAATATCGGTTGGCCGATATTATTGGATACCCTTATTCAAAGTATTCTCAAGTCTATAATTTGTTTCTTGTAGAAATTGACCTTTATTGTGAAGCCTTCCTCGCGACCTTCAGGACCTTCATCAGCCCATTGGATGTCATCAGCAAACTACAGCACAGATATCCTTTCACTGAACGAGTACTACAGAGAGTGTAGAATGAAAGTACCTATGTATGCAGATGATCTACATATTATTCTCCTGAACTTGGATATTTTAAATGCACTTCAAAAGAGAAATTATTTTGATATATATAACCTAACTTGATCCTAGTGTGCTATCAAACTCTTTAACTATCAGCAAATATCGACATTTCTGCAGTGGACACGGAGCTAAGGAGATAAACGCTGCCAAAAACACGTTCCAGCTGCTGGTCAGAGTGGTGGACGAACTGAGGTGAAATACTTTAAACACACATTTTCATACATACCGATGGAACTTTCTGACTTGTCAGGTACCAAAAACCTGTCTTTGTGTCTGCAGTGTGATGGAGCTGGAGGCAGACCTACTGCAGTCGTTGACCGACATGGTGTTCAAACATCTGACGGATGGAGAGCTGGGACTGGCTCACCTTCTGCGCTCCACTGTCCTGTCAAAACTGGAACTAAAATGGCACTGTTGTTCCACTTTGTCTACTTGCCCTCTTGCAGCCAGGGGTGTTACCGCCAGGTAGTCTACATGTGTTTCATTCTTTCCAGTCTGGAATCATGACTGTAATTTTCTTTAACCATCTCAAAAGAGGCAACATTCAAATGCCCTGGCCCTCTCTCTTGTGCCACCAGAGGGAGCCGAATCACCACAAAAGTGGCATATGAATCATAGTTTCAGAACAACTAGTCTTCACAATGGGATTTATGGTCACATGGTATTTGTCCATGGGGTAATTGTGATTAGACATTATAGCCTGGCATGGAAAACCACCAAGTTCTTATTTGGGTCATTGTGTAGTGGTTAGCATGCCTGCCTCGGAAGGAGAGAGCAGAGAGTTCTGAGTTCAAATCCCAGAGGAACCACATGCTTGTAATAGCAGATCTTCTGTTAACACAAGATTTTCCCAAATATGGGTTCAATAATGTTTAAATTAGTATCATTATTATTATTATTCTTTTATATTATTGTTCCTCTAACATACAACTCCTGCCAATATATAGAGTCTACAGTATATACCAGCAAGCCAACTCTAGTCCACATTTGATATGATCATGCAGGCCAAATCCCCGAGCCTGAGTTTGATATGTGTTGCCTAGACCAGTGGTTCTCAAACTTTTTATACTCTGTACCACCTGAGAAAACATTGATCTCTCTGAGTACCACTATGATTACCAACAATAGAATATAGCAGCATAGGCCTTCACTATTAGCTTCCACCACAGGAGAGATGTTTAAAAATGTTTATAAAGATGTTTATGTTTAAATGTAGTATTCAATGTACATGGTATGTTTCAGATTTATTCAATTGAAAATGGAAATGTGAAAATATGAATTTTCCCCATGTACCACTAGAGAGCACCTGTGGTACGCATACCACAGTTTGAGAACCACGGGTCGAGACAGAATGGTTCAGGCAAAGCAGCTGTGGTTTTAAGCAATTTGACCACTTTGGGTTGTAGTGCAACATTAACCTGCATCAATATATTCAATATATATATATTTATATTCTCCTCAGACCAAAAACTCTGCTGGACTTTCGGAGTCAGGATCTCGCTGAACAGTTGACTCTGATGGACTCTCAGTTGTTCTACAAGATTGAGGTACAAGCTGTTACGTCCCTTATCTTGTAGATATTTATTCTTAACTGACACCCGCCTGTCACTCACCCGTCCACTCCCCCACAAACAGCGTCCAGAGGTGTTGATGTGGTCTAAGGAGCAGAACGAAGAGAAGAGTCCAAACCTGACCGAGTTCACCCAACATTTCAACAACGTGTCCTTCTGGTGAATATCCTACAAACCATTTTACTGTTTTGACACATGGTTATAGTATTCTGTTTGCGTACTGTACATCTGTGTGTACGTTTCCTCAGGGTGCGTTCGGTCATCATCCTTCAGGAAAAACCTCAGGACCGGGAGAAATTAATGCTTAAGTTCTTGAAGATCATGAAGGTAAACAGACCCGCATTAGGTCCAGGATTTAGGGAAGAGTTAAGTGGAATAGTTACACAGATTGGGAAAATGGAGGATAATTTATGTTTATGTTTTAGTGAAATTACAGCTCACAGTGACAAATTGCTCTGTTTTGTATCTACAGCACCTGAGGAAGCTGAACAACTTTAACTCGTATCTAGCCATCCTGTCGGCCCTGGACTCTGCACCGTTACGGCGTCTGGACTGGCAGAGAAGCACAGCTGAGGTCTGAACTTTAACAACACAGACAACATGTGTCTACCTTTTTTGTTTTTATTATTTGTCAACTTGACTTGGTGTATTAGTGGATTCAGTGGATCCAAATGCGGCCCACCGAGTCATTTTTTGTGGCCCGTGGGACCTTAAAAAGCATGAATTAAACTTACCTGATAGGTTAAATTAGCGCTCACTTTAGTCATGTGGCATACTGAAAAATCCTCTCACATATTAAGATACTTATAATGGTTTAAAGTCTGAAAGAGTTCATACAGAGTGATGTATGTTTGTCTTCTCAGTCTCTAGAAGAACTCAGCTCTTTGATTGACAGCTCCTCCTCCTTTAGAGCGTACAGAGCAGCTCTGGCTGAGGTGGAACCTCCCTGTATACCTTACCTGTACGTATGAATACCACTATGTATAAATGCCCTGCCTGGTCCATTTAAAACATTTTGATCAAAATGTCTGCTTAGGGGTTTGATCCTGCAGGATTTGACCTTTGTTCACCTGGGCAATCCTGACACGTTGATGACATCGCAGGGAAAAAAAGTAAACTTTTCGAAACGGTGGCAACAGTTCAACATCCTGTGCACTTTAAAAAATTACCAGCAAGCGTAAGAGGACGGCAGTCGTGCAAGTATTTATTTACATGATCTCTTCTGTTTAACATTAATTAAATCTCTCTCTCTCTCTCCAGTCCGTACTCTCTGCAGCCCAGTAACGACATCATTTTGTTCTTTAACGGCTTCAGCGATCACTTGGCAGAGGAGGCGTTGTGGGAAATGTCTCTCAGGCTCAAACCACGGAACACCCCCAAAATCATCCAGAGATAACTGACAAAATACGAACTGGAAAAATGTGAAATAATGTGTTGTATTCAAACGGAGCTGGTACTTCACGGTCAAAGACAGAAATACTTCAGTTTACAAAGAATTCGACAAAGGTACACTGGACTAACGTTCCACAATAGCAGCAAGTTAGGATGGAGCTCCCGGGTCTTCAGGGTGGTTCTGGAACATATTTGTACTAATGTGCAGTACAGGTGGACGATGTATATGTGTATGATGTATATCTATGTGTGTGTGTTTATATTTTATTCAAGTTGCTAATCGCGCTGATATGCTGCGGTTTGTCGCTTTAAGAACGGCAATCTGCCATCCGTCCAATCATATTTCAGCATTCATCCTGTTAAAATGTTACAGCCAATCCCAAGTGAGGACGGATGAAAGACAGCCTCTGTGGCAGTGTTAATCACTCTCAATGTAACGGGTGAGTTTGTTTGTTTTTGTTTGTTTTGTTTTTTACCACAAAAAAAAATCCTTGAATTCTAATAAAATGCAACCAAACATTTACCTTTTAATGATCCGTAAATGCTCCTTCGTAGTACGGAAGCGTATTGCTGCCACACTGAGAAAAAAAAACGTTTACGTAATGTGATGTTTTACGTTATTTCGTGATAAGTTTTACGTTATTACGTGATAAGTTTCACCTTTTTTCGTGATTACGTTTTAAGTTTTACGTTATGACGTGATACGCTTTACGTTATTACGTGATAAGTTTTACGTTATTTCGTGATAAATCAACCCTAAGTGTACGAGCCATATTCTTGAAGATGAGAACCTCGCCATTTACTCTCACCATGGTAACGCCAACCATGTAATGCTAGGTTGGCTAGCTGCTTGGATCTGCAGACAGAACTAATCGATCATATCGAGTGTCTGCTTCTGCTGCTGCAGACTTGCTGTGGAAACTATGCTTGGATTCGATGAAACTACGAGGCTGTAAAGAACCAATGGGCATCTGAGTTTGCGGGTGTCGACAGAACATGTTGTGTTTCATGCGGACAACAACAGGTCAGATTTGTTAAGAATGTTACTGTTGTGTGATAGATAGAACAGCGAGTCGGATGCTAACAACTGTTAGCATCACTCCTGTTGGACTCAAACATATGTAGTTCTTCCAGACTCACCTGTCGGATCGTAAACACACACTTTATTTAAGGTATTCCATACCTGCCTTTTAAACACGTAGAGTTTTTACAGCTTTAGGGAACGTTATAGCAAGAAAACTACACCGTATGTTTAAGTGAGCCATTTGTGGACATAATACAAACAAATGACGCGTTGACATCATTTCTATTGACACTGCAAATATTTGACGTAAAAGTATGATAAAAGTTTGTAAATTTTAATATATTTAAAATAAATATCCAAATAATAATGAAGGAATGGAATGTTACTTTTACAAACCTGTAGATGGTGCTGTAAACACAGTTGAAATAGTAAATAGGTTCTGGTAAACAGTGATAGTGATGGTATTCTTGTTCAGTTCTTTTAACTTTCACTCACATAAGATCCGAGTCGCCGTGATGCTGCATCTCCCCCTGATGGTTACGGCTCAGGTGGACCTGGTCCTTGTGCTGGTCACTGTGCTGAGCCTGTGGACTCGACTGTGCCACCTCAGCTATCCCAATGCTGTGGTGTGAGTGTTGCATTCACTTGGACTTGAATCCATTCAAACCCATTTCCCCGTTAGTTGTTCATCATTCAGGTATTTGTCTCCTTTTTTTTCTGCGTCTTTAGCTTCGATGAAGTGTATTATGGCCAGTTTGTGTCCCTGTATATGAAGAGAGTTTTCTTCATCGATGACAGTGGACCACCTCTAGGTCACATGATATTGGCACTCGGAGGTCAGTATAGCCACAGTGTGACATGCGCAGTCTTCGGTATTACCCCTTTACCTGTAACTGTGTGTGTGTGTTTTGCAGCGTATCTGGGAGGATTTGATGGAAACTTTGCGTGGAACAGAATTGGAGCAGGTAGAAACTCTGGGCTCGGTCCAATCACTGTATCTTATCTGGAAATGATTAGAAACTGCTAAATGCAATATTTAAAAATATTTAAATTTATTTTGAAATGTTATAATCAAATACAACCAGTATAATCCACTATCGGCCATTAAAAACAATTTTTATAAATAAATGCATTGGTTAGGTCAGATGTGGTATAAGATTTAAATTATGTAAATTATGCATTTTATTGTTTTTGTCTATTAGGGGAAATAATTTTTAAAAAATACACAGGAAAACGTCATTATCATACCAGTTTCTCTTTTACAAATTGAATGGGGTGTTGAATTACAGCATAAGTTCAGTGCACAACAGCGCCCCTGCTGTCGGAAAGGGGCACCTATAGAGTCAGTGCAGTGGAGAAGAGCTCGCAGCTAGGTTTATATCAGAGTTGCTGTGTTTATTTTTATTTTATTTATTATTAGTATTAATGTATGTGCTCTTAAAGTATAAAATAAAATATTTTGCAGTAATCTCTGTTTGTGTTTGTGTTCATCATAAGGTATTACTACAGTAACCCCGTGTTGTTTCATTGTCGGTACAGAGTATCCTTGCAGCGTGAGTGTTTGGACTCTGCGGTTCCTGCCTGCTCTGTGTGGAGCTCTCTGTGTTCCCCTGGTTTATCTGTTGACTTTGGAGTTAAAATTCTCTCACCTCTCTGCTCTGGGAGCTGCACTGCTGTTATTGCTGGGTGAGTGCAGTGTTAATGCCTAACACTGCTTTATAGAAACACAACACTTACCACGTGTCAAGACCGTGACCTGTTGATATTCATTCGTATTCACCTGAAAGGCAGCGGTCGACTCTTACACAGTGTCTGTTTCAGTGAACCACTCTGTTTGGATACGCATATAAGAATGAAGACCACCAGCCCCCGGTGTTACTGATTATTTTTAATTAACTGTAACTGCAAAAAAGATCACTGGTTCACCCGATAATTTCGGCTGACCGATATTATCGGCCCGATAGCATATTATGTAATATCTGTAAGAATCGTTATGATACTGTAAACCAGCTAACACAATGCATGCTAAAACTAACACATGCTCTAAAAATAGTTTTGGGATAAGATATATTAAAGTCACTAGATGGCAGCATCGCAGCTCATTTGATTAATCTCATACTCATACAGTGGTTTCTACAGATAAATAAACAAATATAACCAGGGATATATCGGTATAGGTTAATAATATCGGAATCGGAAATTAATAGTTTGGACGATATCGGATAACAGCAAGAGTTAATATAGGACATCCCTAGTATTTGTGAGTGTATAAATATATATTTATGTGTATTCATGTTTGTGTATATATGTATATATATATATATATGCACGATGTACTTAGATTATATACATCTATCCAGCTATCAAATTTACATATCTATGGTAATATGATATAATATGGTATAATATTTGGTAATAATACGTTTGATATGCTGTTATATCTTGCTATGCTATATAGCACTTGTGTCCAAACGTTTACGTTCCTTTCACGTCCTAGAGAACTCCCTGATTGTCCAATCACGCTTCATGTTACTGGAGTCCGTTCTCATCTTCTTCGTGCTGTTGGCCTTTTTCTCCTACCTGTGCTTCTACAACGCTCCCAGCAGGTGAGGGTGACCTTTTGAATTTTAACCTGAGCTGCCTGAGTTGCCTGTTGATGTCTCAGCTTCTCATTGGTCCTCTGCTCCTCAGCTCCTGGTTCAGGTATGGCTGGCTGCTCCTCTGTGGAGCCTCCTGCGGTGCGGCCATCGGGTGAGGAAATCATCTGCGGCTGTTTTTTTGACGTGACGGTTTTAACCGAAGGGTGTGTGTATTTATATGTGTGTATAATGTCAGGGTTAAATACATGGGCCTGTTCTCGTACCTGCTCCTGCTGGGTGTGGCCTCTCTGCACACCTGGAACCTGATCGGAGACCGAACCGTCAGTCACGTGAGTCTGGATCCACAGACCACACACTAAAACTCAATGTAATAAACCGAACTCACGGTGTGTTTGTGTGTTCATGTTCCCGTCTGTACAGCTCAGTGTGTGCGTGCAGTGTGTGTGTAGATTTTTCTGCTTGCTGGTCCTTCCTGTCCTGCTCTATGTATTCTGGTTCTACGTTCATCTGAGTATCCTGAGCCACAGCGGTCCACATGACCAGCTGATGAGCTCAGCCTTCCAGGCCAGTCTTCGGGTAAGACACTAATAAATACACACACAAAGTATTTCTTTTTTTCCTTTTCCTTTTTTTTTAATTTTATTTTTTAATATATTTGGTATAATTTGTTTTTTATCCACTTTTCTCCGTCTTAAGGGTGGTCTCTCGCGGATCACGCAGGGTCAGCCCCTGGAAGTGGCCTATGGCAGTCAGGTGACGCTAAAGAGCTCTGCCTCTCAGCCAATCCCCTGCTGGCTCCACTCACACAAAGCCAACTATCCAATCAGGTGCTGCAGGCTCACATGACCACCAGCCAATCACAGACTGCAAGCTAAAAAATGTTTTTCTCCTTTTGCACGTGCATTTGTTCAGGTACGAAAACGGGCGTGGCAGCTCCCACCAGCAGCAGGTCACCTGTTACCCCTTCAAAGACGTCAACAACTGGTGGATTGTCAAAGACCCCGACAGGTAGAAGGACAACCTTTTCTGTGGCATGCTGGGAAGTTTGCTTCTCTGTCTAATGAGTTTGTCTGTAACAGACAGGAAATGATGGTGAGCAGTCCCCCCCGGCCTGTCCGTCATGGTGATGTCATCCAGCTAGTTCATGGCATGACCTCACGTTTCCTGAACAGGTAAAAACAACCCAAACATCACGGACTCTTTCTCATCCAAGAACCATATGTTTGGTAACATTTTAAACAGTTAAACATAATGACCTAAAAAGAAATTAAATAAATGACTTTCTACAGAGGGCCGATATTTTTTCAATTGAGAAAATCTCACTGTTATACCGATATATTCAGCCATATTAGCATAATTATGTTATATCCGTAAGAATTGTTATGATAATGGAAAACCCAATAACGCAATGCCTGGGTTTCCCCAAATGATGTGTACTCTAAAAATTGTTTTGGGAATAAACCGTTGTGTTAAACTGAAAGTCACTAGGTGGCAGCATTGCAGCTCATTTTATTAATCTCATACTCATACAGTGGTTTGTACAGATAAATAAATAAATTACCAGGCCTGTATCAGAATTGGTTGATACCGGAATCAGAAATTAAGTGTTTGAAAAATATCGGCATATCGGATATCAAAAAGTTAAAATCAGACATCTTTAATTCAAACTAAGAACTAACCTAAGATGAACCGGCAAATTAAAGGTCTTTTTTAGAATCAGTTTATTGATTGGTTGATACAGTACCATCCTGGCTTTCTCAACAGAAAATGAAAAATGAACAGAAAACATTTTCAATCATAAATAACCTGAGTTTCTTGTTTCAGCCATGACGTGGCAGCTCCCATGAGTCCTCACGCCCAGGAGGTCTCTGGCTACATCAACTTCAACGTTTCTATGGCAGCTCAGAACCTGTGGAGAGTGGTGAGTCTGAGGCGTTAACTGTGTGTGTGTGTTAAATTTTGAATTTTCAAGTCAATAAAAGTGATTCTCCTTCTTAGCTGGTGCGCCAATGCAAACAAAAATCTCACATTTTTATACAAATAAAATGAGGAAAAATACCTTTGATGCCAACAGTTAGAGTAACAAACTGTGTCTGTTTCCAGCCCTTATTCAACTTTCAAAACAAATACAGGAAAGTACAAATATGACTCCTGGTGTTTCTTCTTCAGGTGAACCATAGTCGTGTGTGTTTGTGTTCAGGACATCTCAAACAGGGAGGTGGAGTCAGACGTGTGGAAGACCATCCTGTCAGAGGTTCGACTGATCCACGTCAACACCTCGGCCGTTCTTAAGGTGCAAACAGGAAGTGCACGTTTAAACCCCAGTGCAGTGATTTCTTTGTACATAACGGTCTCTCTTTGTGTCTGTGTGTGTGTAGCTGAGTGGTGTGTCTCTCCCAGACTGGGGTTTCCGCCAGCTGGAAATTGTAGCGGAGAAACTGTTCAAAGCTAACACTGGCAATTTGGGATGGACGGTGGAGGAACACCGATACGGAACCAGTACAGAAACAGATACTGCTTACCTTTTTGGGAGGGGCGGGGGGGCAGTAATAACAACGTTGCTGCTTTTTGCTGTGTTGACCTGTGTGTGTTTGTTTGTGTAGGTCAGGAGCAGAAAGAGAGGGAAGTGGAGCTGCATTCTCCATCTCACATTGATGTGGACAGAAAGATTTCCTTTTGGGCAAAGTTTTTAGAACTACAGGTCAGTGACACGGACATGAAGAAAAAAATTAGCGTCGGCATTAGCCTACTGAGATCATGTTTTTCATTAAAAAAATTAAGAGCAAAAAAATCAAACATTTTATTTCTTTTAAAAGACTAAATTAATAATAATATGTGTGGATCTGTTACTGTCTCAATCACTAAAATTGCTAAATAAATAAAATAATTATATTATTATGTGTGTGTGTATATATATATATGTATATATATATGTGTATATATATATATATATATATATGTATGTATGTATGTATGTATATATATGTTATAAATAAATAACTAAAACTATTTCCATACCGGATCGGTCGAGGCCCGGGTTAATAAAGACCGCCAACAGTGCTGTTGACCTACAGGGTACTGGTGAAAATTGGACTACTGTTGGTCAAAGACAAAGAAGAGGAGGAGAACGATTGATCAGAGTAGAAGATGCAGAGAACAGGGCAATATGGAAATCAATGATTTGCTGTGGCAACCCCTGAAAAAAGGGACAAAGCCGAAAGAAAAAGAAGTGTTACTGTCTACTCAATCATTCATATGTGCAAGAGCAGTGGTCACATTGTTGCCATAGCGACACAGTAACATGTCATGTTTTTATGTTGTAACAGTGGAAGATGCTAACAGTAAAACAGGAAGACTCCGAACACAAATACAGCTCCTCCCCTTTAGAGTGGATCACCATGGAAACCAACATTGCATACTGGCTGCACTCCTCCTCTAATGTACACACACACACTGCCACACAGGCTGGTCATAGTTTTAACACTGTCTGTATTTGACATACTAATTGTTAAAAAGTAAATCTATTATTTGTGTAACTAGGCTCAGATCCATCTGATTGGTAACCCAGTGTCATGGGGTGTTGCCAACTTCAGCCTGTTGGCCTATCAGGTGCTGGCAGTTTTCTATCTGCTGAGGAGGAGGCGGGGCTTCAAAGACTTGCCTCACGGTACGAACCCTGAACTTTAACTTTGAACTTGAACTTAAATGGAATAAAGAGTCGTGCTGCTACCGGCTCCAAAACTCTGACACTCATTTCTAACAATGTGTGTTTTCCAGGTGTGTGGTGTAAGTTTGTGTGCCTGGGCTGTGTGTGTGTCGGCGGCTGGTTAGTCAACTTTGTGCCTTTCTTGTTGATGGAGAAAACACTCTTCCTCTATCACTACCTGCCCGCTCTCTGCTACCTGTACCTGCTGAGCCCCGCCCTGCTGGAGCACATGCACACTCATCTTCTCAGGTACATTTCTTCACACACACCAGTCATAAACTGTGAATGGTTGTCAAAAATACATCCTGCAGGTCAAAACTGGCCTACTAGGAGGTTCAGTCCAGCCCCAATAAATTTTAAAAGCAGAAAAAGCACAAACATTTTATCTTCATGATGTTTTGTAAAATGACATTTCAAAAGGTAAAAACTTTGTCTCCTTGCAGCAGCGTGACGTACCAGCGAGCGCTGTGTGTGTGGGCCTCAGCTGTGTTGTTGTCTGTCTTCCTGTCATATCGAACCTTCTGCCCACTCACCTATGGAAATCCAGAGCTTTCGGCAAATGAACTGCGAGGACTCAAATGGCGGGACAGCTGGGACATCCTGTACCGGAGACGTTAGTCACAGAGAGGACAACCAATTAGTCTGTACATGATGATGATGTCACAAGAGTTGAGTGGAAAAAAACGTTTTAAATAAAAACTACTGACAAAAAAGTGAATGTGAATATTAAAAAAAAAGGGATTGTAATGACAAAAGTTCTGTTTTTTTTTCTTTCAAAGTATTACACTGATGCTTGTTTTGTCATGACAGTATTACGGAGCCCCTAAAGGGACATGGGGGGGTGGGGAGGGAAGAGAAACGTATCTCGTGCTCACGAAATACTTTCTCGTGCGCACTAGATACTTTCTCGTGCTCACGAGATACTTTCTCGAAAGCAAGAGAAAGTATCTAAGACATTCTGCCACGCAAAGCATCTAAGACATTCTGCCACACATACATACAGGGTAATACATTGAAATAACAAACAATAATGTACAGTACGTACGGTTGGGAAATCTAAGATACCGCCATGCCATGCGGGACATATGTACTGTAGTGATGTGTTGTTCGTGAGTAATTCGTTCAAAATGAACGAATCATTTGAACGAATCACATATGACTCGTGACTCCCGAGTCATATGAAAGATTCGTGACTGGTGACTACCGAGTCATATTAAATATTTGTTCATATTGAACTCACGAATCACTCACAAATCACTCACTGCGAACTAATCACACTCTGCGAACAATCACTTTCTGCGAACTAATCTTTTACTACGAACGAATTACTGTCTGCAAACTAATCTTTCACTGTGAACTAATCT